ATTTGTAGTTTTAATTAGTACATTTTTCAAGATAAAAAGAATTGAGTGGGAACAGCTGCCCTAATAGGCATATGCGGCCTCCATCCATGGGTTCACCAATGGCTGCACATTTTTGTTCACTTAGTTGCGATTAACATTTTTATTTTGTAATTCTTTTGTCTAATGATATTCGTATGATTTGTTAATCACATTTGAGAGGCAAAGGAAAGTAGCAGTCTTGAAGTGGAAGCAAGTAAAGAAAATAAATAAATAAAAAGTTGGGAATTAATTTAATTAGATGGAGGTCTTGTTCAACTAGAAGACACGTAAGCAGCTAAAAATGTCATCACCCATGTGCTTCTGCATGTGTACGTGGACCTTTTGCTTTGTTTTTTTCCAGATTTTCTTCCTGTTATGATTTGACAGAATCATCCTCTGTTGTAACCCAACCTATTCACATGAAAACGAAAGGAAGATTACAGTAATTTAATATATAACTACAATAAAAATTATATATAACAAGTCCTCGGTTACGTATCGTCACATTTATTATATCAAAACATCTCGATAATAATGAATTTGTTTCATGTAAATTGCTCATGATTTTTTTTTATAATTGTTACAGAAAAGAAATGCCATTTAATGAAGGATGAAATTCTCATGGATTCATGGGTCAAAAATGCTCATTCAATTCGTTTACCAGAAAAGATTTGGGAATTGAATTCCTCCTTTCCTTCTCCAAGTCCTAATAAACGGCTGTGTAATTAAAAGCTTCTCTAACTGTGTGAGACGTGTGTCTCAATGTGTGCCATTGCAGAGAAACAAGAGGGACACAGACACAACACATTTCTCTCTCTCTCTCTCTCTCTCTCTCTCTCTCTCTCTCTCGTGGGTGGGACAGCAGGGTTGTGCTTGTGGTGCAGAAATAAAATCAGCCCTGCAAATTTTTATTCATGCACATTCAGTTATGCAATAATCTAAAGAAAGCTGGAAGCTTTCTGTTAGGTAAGGGCGATTCTGTCCGCAGCAAGAAAACCCAGTTCACCAAAACTCTTTGAGCTGTTTTAAAATGGTTGTTGTGGTGAGTAAGGGCTTTTCGGAGTGAATTAATATATCTTAATAAATCTATATTGTTTCATTTTTAATCGATCAATAACAGTCAGTTCGCTCTCTTGCGCTTGAGTTTGAATCTCTTTTCCTCTCCCGTAACAGATTAAGCTAGGTGTGAATTATACTTGTTGGCATAGGGCGGTTTGCTAGCACATTTCTACCTAAGTTCGAATCTCAATTTTCAGAAACTAAATTAGTTTAAAAATCGTTTAGACAAAAGAATAATAATAATCTAAATAATGAAAAAAAGAGGAAAAGTAAAAGCAGAGAGAAGCATAAAGGAGGGAAAGGGGTATTTGCGGCAAATGGGCAATGCTTGCATGCGAGGATATGCATTCTATAGAATCATCATCTGTCAAACCCCAAAAAAAGGGCCATCTCTCATTTGCATTTGGGAAATTTCCCCCACAAAACCACACGCTTTGTCCTTCAAAACTGCCCTTCCACCTCAAAAGGTCGTGTTTTTAACTATTTCAAAACCAGTTAGCCCCCTAGCAGTTTATGGTCCCCTCCCAAACACTTAACAGAAAATCAATACTTTTTTTTAAAAGTCTGTCAGTGACCCACTGGTCATGGTGGCTAAACAAACCTACCCCTTACCCCCAAAGTTCTATATAATCCCCCCAAACCCCCTCCTACATTCCTCACTCATCTGCCTCCTCTCATCTCCTCTCCCCTGTTTTTGCCAAATCTCATTCGTTTCCAATCCAAATGTAATAATCTTGTCCCTCTCTCTCTCTCTCTCTCTCTCTCTCTCTCTCTCTCATTTCCCTTTTTAGTTAGAAATAACAAACAAAATGATGCATTGTTACATAAAATGCTGAATGGTTTTACTTATGTGTGCAGGAAAATGACTTTTCCATCTGGGTTTTTCTTGGTGGGTATTCTTGCAATGTTGGTGGCCTCTGCGCATGCTTACGGCGGAGGGTGGGTTAACGCTCGCGCCACTTTCTACGGCGGCGGTGACGCTTCTGGCACAATGGGTATGCACCAAAACTAAAAAAGATTCCATTTTTACTTCCTGTTATCAATTTTAAGCACTCTCTCTGACCTATGTGAATTTTTGGGATTTTGTTTCTGAAGGCGGAGCTTGTGGGTACGGCAACCTCTACAGCCAGGGGTACGGAACCAACACGGCGGCCCTGAGCACTGCTCTGTTCAACAATGGGCTGGGGTGCGGATCTTGCTACGAGATTAGGTGTGTGAACGACCCCAAGTGGTGCCTGCCAGGCTCCATTGTGGTCACCGCCACCAATTTCTGCCCGCCAAACAACGCCCTCCCCAACAATGCCGGCGGCTGGTGCAACCCTCCCCAGCACCATTTCGACCTCTCTCAGCCTATCTTCCAGCACATTGCCCAATACAAAGCTGGAGTTGTGCCAGTGTCCTACAGAAGGTAAAACCTACTGAAATTTCAAGTTTCATAGTTAAAGATCCAAACTTTATCCCAAAAAATCACTAATTTTGTTGTGGGTTATTTTTTTGGGTTTTAACAAAATCCAGACTTTTAAAATGAAAGGGCATTAAAGGAATTTCACAACGAAAATTTTGTTTGGAGAATGCATATGGATGGTTTTTTTTTACCCCTTAATGAGTCACAGAAGTTTGGAATACTTTTCTAATTTTATTTTGTTGGGGGTTTGTAGGGTACCCTGCAGGAGAAGGGGAGGCATCAGATTCACAATCAACGGTCACTCCTACTTCAACCTGGTCCTCATCACAAACGTTGGTGGTGCCGGTGATGTGCACTCTGTTTCCATCAAGGGGTCCAGAACCGGCTGGCAAGCAATGTCCAGAAACTGGGGGCAAAACTGGCAATCCAACAGCTACCTCAACGGCCAAGCCCTCTCTTTCAAGGTCACAACCAGCGACGGCCGTACTGTTGTGTCGTACAATGCTGCCCCAGCCGGGTGGTCCTTTGGGCAGACCTACAGTGGTGCCCAATTCCGCTAGGTCACCCCCACCCCGCCATCTAATTTACCCTCTATCCTTAGTCCTTACCCACTTCCTAGGTCATTAAATATATATACTGAGTATTAAATCTTAATTAAGATTAGTATGACTCTTAAGTATACTAAGATATTAGTTAGTATTCTGAGTCGTTGAGTCAAGGTCGTTGGCCTCTGCGGTCAAAAGTGAGTAGGGCTTATTTTAAAAGGGCTCTCTCTCATCAAATTTTAATTTTTAAGTTAATATGTGTTTTAGGTGTAGGGTACCCTACCATCTTTGGAAACCCTAACTCCTTGGGTATTGTTTTTTTTTTACTTCTGCGGTAATTGTAAAAGCGGAAGTTGGCAGAGGTTGTGGACTTTGACCACCCGCCATTCGCATTCTGGCTTGCTTTGGAGGGGCATTGTTGTAAATCAGCCGAGGCTGATCTGTAATTCAGTATTGTCCTTGGTTGTTATATTTGAATATTGAAGACTAAATGTAAATTTTCCATTTTCTACTAAGTAATGGATTTGCTAATTTATTATTCCTTGCTTCTCTTTTATTTCTCCTTTAACAAACAAACAATCAATTATTTTTTATCTAATTTGTGCTTGTTTCAATTTAATAATTCGGACAGAGATCCAATCTTGACTGTTCGGAGCGTAAAGATTAATCAATTCAAACAACTAAAACTTGAATTTGAACGTCTTTATTAACTCTTCCCGCTGACGCACTTCACACAAACAAAAATTCTGATTTTTGTTTCACACAAATTAAGAGCCCCAATTTTTTTGTGCATAAAAATATGAGTTACACCATTTAATTAGAGTTGTGTGCTCGTACTCGTAGCACTCAATTCAAACTATGGAAATGTGAGAAAAACCATGAATCTATGGGTACGGGCCTGCTATCCATAATCAACACGGGTAGCAAATAGTGAATCTAACCCAACCAAACAGCCTATACCAAAAGGGCCTACATTAGACATAACTTCATGATATTTAGAGAGGAAATCTAGTAGGAAAGCATGATTACGTAGCTCGCTAGCTGGTTAGCCACTCACAGGGAGTAGGATTATCATTCACTGAGAATTTGTAACTACGTGAGGCAGATGGTACCCTAACGTAAGAGGGCATGTTCCGTTGTGAGTGTGACCTGATCAATCATGCGGTCAGGCTGCCCTACTGAGATATTTTCTTCCGTCCTTTACATTACAGCCCCCCAAAGCAAGAAACAGTAAACCAAAGTTATTTCACAAGACATGAGATTAACCACCGGAAATCTAGCTATTTTCACAAGGCAAATATAATAAATCTGTGACCAGAAATTTTGAGTGGTGGGACTGAATATTTGGTTGGTGTTGTACAACGTTACATGAATTGGAGTAAAAAATCTTCCGTAAAGATTTCATCTTAAAATTTCGATGTCTCGTCCATTGTCCCCTTGCTTTCCATGTCCCTTTCAAAATAGATTGCCTGAAAGATTCATACCAGCTAGCAACAAAAGACTTACCACAGAGAAAACCTACGCAGGAAACTCCACATAAAGCAAACTTTTTTTTGTGTGGTTCCAGTTAAATGTTTTGCAGTGTGTATCGACACTCGACAGACAGCAACATGGAATTGTAGCGGTTCATGTGTATTGAATAGAACACGTATACTTTTATATCAATAAAACATTCCCGTACTTACTAATATACATGAGACCCACATGCAATGATAGCGGTCAATATGTATTTTTGGATTCTAGATTTCAATTTCTAGTTTATAATTTTCACGCTTTAAAAAGTGTAAACCGAAACCATGTCCCTCCAGGGACGTCTGTAAAATTGGCACGAACGAAGAAGAGAAGATTCAGCATGGCCTTTTGCACGTGTAGGACCTTATTCTGCAGATAGTTGCCTTGTGGTTCCAACTGATGTTTTCCAGTGTCTAAGACAGCAACAAGAAATAGTGGACATTAATTTACACACACAAAAATGGAATTGTAAATTTTTTTTCCAATATGTTATGTTTTTTGTATATTGTTATATGTACTTTTATTTACAGCTCAGATTACTGAGAGGGGAAGCAAGGGAAGGCAATGTCCTAAACTGCCACTAGAAAACTTGACAGCCAAGACATGGGGGTGAGGAGGGAGCAAAAAAAACACTCAACAGAACACCTATATTTCTATATATAATGAACGTATAATTGATCTCTCGTTGGAGGTTTGGTGCTTCATTCTTCGGGCATCAGCACCGTCGTTCCTTCACGCAAGGGTACTAATGACTATGACAGGGCCGTTTATGCGTTGAACCTGCGCTGTACACTCGGTGGTTGCCTTCTATTTTACCACGACAAAAAAATATATAATGACCACAAAAACCTTGATGAATGAATAGGTTTTTCAAGCATTCGAGCAGATTTCTCCAGCAACTCCCCATCGGTGGATGAACGACAAAATCACCCATGGACTTCAGTTTGTCTGCTGCATCAAGCAAAAGAGATGGTTTCAATACAATACAGAGAAGCAAACCTTTGAATTAGTATGACAAAATATTGCAAATTTGCACTACAGAGAAGTAAACCACCGAATGTACTTCAGTTTGTCAACGGAATACAGAAATGCTTTCTAAGGTAGAATATGCCAGGTCACACAACAGGGAGGAAAACAATTGACTTTGCAGTTTATCAGCAAAGAAAAATAAATTGAATTACATTTTAGCCGAATGGACAATCACATTACAGTATAATATACATAGAGAAAGCAATATTATAAAATGCAAAGTCTAGTTTCCATGCGAGGTAATTTGCTACTTCAGCCATATACAGCAAAGGAAGCCATGCTAGTAACAAGCAAGAAAAATTAAGGGGTGTGATATTCACACACCCCATTTTACTTCTCACACACCCTTCTAATTTTTGGTCGTCGGATCGGATGAATTGAAGAAGATCAACGAACAGAAATTAACAAGGGGTGTGTGAGAAGTAATTTAGGGTGTGTGGATAGCACACCCCAAAATTAATTGAGAAGATGTGGGAAGAAAAACTGACCTGGGAATATAAATGCTCGTCAAACATGGTAACCGCACAAGGACCAGATGTAGAAGCCCAACTATGCTGAGTAGGGTAAAACTCAGGTCTAGGAGCTTCAAAGCTTCCATTAACATGATACTCAACAGGATTTTCTTGAGGACTCATTTCTGCCGGTGGTTGGAATTTCGTATCAGTCATCATATTAAGATTGTACGGCAGATAGGGAAATTGCCCACCCAGCTGTAGCCTCAGTGGTGCGGTTCTGCTCAAGTCATTAAGAATACCGTTTTCTTGTTCAGAAGTTGAAATCTCTGGACTTTTTCCTGTGCCAAGGTAACCAGAATAACTCCCAAAGGAGGAACTTGCTGAGCATTCCATGTCCCTATGAAAGGAGATTCTTCCAGTGAGTAACACTTACAAGATAAAGTAATCCACCATTAGATGAATTTCACAGTTTTTTTAATTAACAAAGAAATAGATGAAGGAGCCATTTAATGTTCTATGTTATAATGAACTTCATCTCATCATAGAACATGTTGCTTTTCTTTTCAACTATATTTTCATCTTACACAACAAAAATTCCTAGGAGAGCTAGTATGTACTTCCGAACAATCACCCACCTATGCGGAAGCAAGCTCGTGTCCTCAGGTAAAACCATATGTCGGCTGTCATTAGTCGGAATCCATGACAAAGGTTGGAACTGTTGCTCAGCATTCATGCTGAAGGGTACATGTAACCCATTTTGGAACTGCAAAATGAGAACCATAAAGATATTATGTTTGCCAATATCAGTAAGTAAATAACACCTTAACAAGGTTTCTTGTGACAGAAAAGAAGCAATGCTTTACCTGACTAGTGCATTCTAACGACATAATTTGCTGCTTTTGTAAATTTTCCTGCCAATGGAAAATTAGATTGCATAGTATCAAGAGGTGCAGTAGCATCAGAACTAAAGGTAGCACAAGGTCACTTGAAAACTACAGAGAAAGGATACTCAGAAAATTATACACTCCTCATTTGTATGTAATTGTCAACGCTTTCTTGCTAAAACTCCAATGATGTCATACTCACTACTATTCACATACATTCCCAAATTAATAAGTAATCAAATTCTAAATTGCTACAGTCTAAGGCAGTACATCGTTTCCACAACTTCCAATTATCAGTGGTAACATTTCAGTAGCATATAATATTGGAGAGCTAGGCCAATTACAATAATCAGATAATTTTAAAAAATTTAAAAATTTTGAACCAGACAATGAGAACACTTCATAGTTTCGACCCTGTCAAGCGCAAGAATTCTAACATCGGGCGGGTATATACACTAAATTTCTTCATATGAAACCTATTTAACCTACACTTGGATGCAGAGGATACCTTATGTGTTCGAATCTGGTTAAGCGATTCTCTAAGTGAATCTTCCATTTGCCCCAACTGTTCTACACTGTTGATCTTATCAGGGCTAGTCCAGCAGCTGCAGAATTCAAGATTGGTAAAGCATTTGTTTAAGGGGGCATAGACCATAGTAAAATTTCACTGGAACATAAATTAATGAAACGTAAAATATGGCTCTCCAGCCCAAATTTTCAGGTATTCACCTTAGTCTCTTTTTTATTTCGGAAAGTTGGGTTTGCAATAAGCTAGACTGGTTACTCAGGTCCTGTCGAAAAGAGAGAGAGAGAGAGAGAGAGAGAGAGAGAGAGGAATATAAAAAGCATGCAACAATGAAAAGTTAAGACCAAGAGACTCGAATGGTGAAATATCACACTGGAAATATGGGTTTGCATTCTTACCTCAATCGTTTGAGAACTGAAACAAAAAGAAAAGAAAACATATTAATTGTAATTCCATGATTTCTGACAAAATTTTAACCCCGTGTTAGCTTGTGTACCTTGTACCCAAAAATTCTTGTATATTAACATCATGATCCAACTTCTTGAATGTTTTCTTCAGTGCCTACACTTTCAACAAGAAAACAGAAAATTAAGTAAGAGACAGCAGTAGTAGTATCTAGGTTATATCCGAAAAGAAAAAAATAGAGAACAATAACATCATTAATAAATAAATACAAGGTTATCAAAGGGGACTCACTTCGAGGCTTTCCAATTTCCTGTTAGAATCCAAAGAAATTAAATTTAGATAGGATACTTTGAAACTTAAATTCAGATACATGATTGTTTCTTTGAGCGAAGAAATTACCTTTTAGCTCTTTCCTGTGGAGTAAGTTGAGCAAACTTTGCTATAACCTCTTCGATGCTACTAAACTCAACAAGATAAAAGAAAAGGCCGAGTTACTGATGACAATGGTGATTGATTCCCAGCGAAATGTTATATTCTTACAGACGGATGCACACAGGTGCCTTACACATGAAACATATCCCCCCAAATCAACTGCTTCAATTAACTAAAAAGCTTAATCTGATAAACCTGCATAGTTTTCAAACGCAAATACAAAAACCTTGTGCGCGTCTTTACATACTATCCTCTAAACAGGCTATAAATTCTTTAATTTGTTACTATATTAGAATGAATGTACAGTTGTAGATACATACCTGCGTTTGCCACTGCACAAAGAAGGTTTTCCAGTCGGCGAAAACATGAGAAGGACAATGTCAATGTCGCAAAGTATAGATAATTCATTAGCCTTTTTCATGATGCCGTTCTTCCTTTTAGCATATGTTGCTTGACGCCCATTTGTATTCTCCAACCTCTTAATCTTTAGCTTTACCCTTCCCATCCTGCACTTTCGACCGCGAATCTTACGCTTAAACTCCCCTTCTTTGACAGTCCAAAATATCGAAAAGCCTACCCCAAACACAAAAACCAATCATTTCTTCATCACAATATATCCAACCACACATAATTCAATGTCCTAACTCACATAATTCAGCAACCAATTTAAAAATCTAAACAAATATTAGCAGGATATGAACATGCTACCGAAAGTTTGCAAATTTATCAACGCCAATCACCAAATTAAATCTTACATAATCAGGGGTGATTAAAATTGCATTAAGCCCAGATAAGAAAACCAAGATTCAACAAAATCCCAATTGAGAATTGGAGCTAAAAATCGAAAGACAATACCTTTTCCGAGAATCAGAGACTTGTGGAAGATATTTGAGAAAAATAAGGCATAAATAGTAAAAGGCAAAAGGGATATCTAGAAAAACACAAAAAATGGAAACTCACCCTGAAGAGGAAATGAAACAGGGGAGTTTTTAGAAAAATATAATCCAAACGTCGGAAAATGTCGGAACACAGAGGGGGGGGGGGAGAGAGAGAGAGAGAGAGAGAGAGAGAGCCAACAGGGAGGAGATTCAAAAGGCAGAGAGAGAGAGACGGAGAGAGAAAAAGAGAAGGGTGTGTGTGAGCTTACATATAGCTTTGCATAACACGACCGGGTGACCGGAAAATTCGGGTAAACGAAATTAGCGGGAGAATCGGAAACGTCGGAAATTCCCAAAACAACCAACCAACCAAAAGCAATTTCTTTTAATTTTGTGTCTCCATCGCCCTCCTCCTTCCTCCTCCGACTCTCTGTCCTCTGATCGCACGCAGGTTTCTGTTTTTCCAACATGTTTTTCCGGGTCGTCGTCAGTCAGTGGGTTTTGGAACTTAAATTTTGTGCAATGACTTTTTTGCCCTTGCCTTCCCTCACATTTTGATACAGAAGATAATGTCTTTATGGCCATTTTGAAAAGGAGATGGATTATCTGCCCTCTTATTTCCAAACTCTCTCTATACCTTTCTGTGATGTGATGTGTGATCACGGTTAAGCGACGTTAACATTTTATATTAATTTTTTATAAAAATAATAAAACAAAAAGTAATAGGAATATAAAATGTTAACGTGGCTTAACTGTGACTACACAAACAGGAGGACATGAGGAGAGTATAGAAATGGGAGGGTAGACAATCCACCTCCTTTTGAAAAACAACTAAATGGTGGGAAATCGTTTAATTATGCAGTTATCTACGTATGATTATACAATTCAATGAAATTAATTGTAATACTCGTCAGATTGAAGGTGAATATTTGTAAATAAAGTCCAAATTATTTTTGTTCACTCAAATTTTGCCAGCATCGATATAAAATTTGGCCAAGATAAGAAAAAAAAAATTATTATTAGCACTTCAAAATTCTTCTTTTATTTTAAACTTTTTATATTTTAAAAAAAATACACTTAAAAAGAGTGCAAAATGAGATTTTTTTTTTTTTAATGCAAACAACAATTTCCTCCCTGAAAAATAACGTTTGTTTTATCATTAGATTTGTTTTTTTTTTGCAGAATCCAATCAAGAAAATTTTAATTCACCATATTAGAGGATCTTCAACAATTTTGTTAATTTTTTTCTAATTTAACATGTGAACAGTGTTGAAAACTTCTTTAACTAGTCTTTATAATTTTTCATCTCTAAAACGTCTCTATGTTAATCAATTTTGAATATTTTATTATTAAAAAATTATTCTATTTAATATTTTTTATCATGGAAAAAAACTCAAATCTACTAATTTTCTAGAACCATCTTCTCTCTTTTCTTTTCTCCTTGACTCATCGGTCCACATATCAATTTTATATTATTAATTTTTTAACATTTAGCATTGAACAACGGCTTTATAAACTTAAAAGCAATTGTTCACTTGCTACTAGTTGACGATGTTTTTTTCCAGAAAAGTACCCGGATGATCAGGGAGGGAGGTCGACGGCTGGCGGGGGGTTGGACCGGAGAAGGCCTAGGGCCCCACAATTTTTTAATTTGTTTTTCTATCCATGTCGGCAGGTTTCTAGCCACACATTAGCAAAAAAATATAAAATATTTAACAGTGATAAATAAAATGGTGAGCAGTACCACCACTCGAGGATGATGACGCGAGCAAAAATACACAAAAAAATATGGGGTTGCATTGCCACATCATCGTAATGTTCATTTTAACAGATTTGTCAACTGATGTATCACATTACAACCAAAATGTAAGTTTGTGTACAACTTTGCATGTTTTGAGATAATATATGAGTTTGCAATTGCACCTAAACTTAAATGTGCAAAAGCAATTTATCCTTTTTTATAAAAAGTAACCAAACATCTTAAAAACCAAAAATTTCAATGTGGGATGTAATCAACAATATAATTGTAAAAGTGCTTAAAGTGTTACAGTGTTTGATTTTAATGTAAAACAATTGAGATTGTTTAAATGACAAAAATGGGCATAAAGTTTATGTACTTTTCTTCCTTTTTTCGTGCATGCATGGGTTGTGGTACGGTCGGTCATGGAAGCAGCAAGTACCGTCAGGCTTGTTGGATGGTTGGTTTGGGGGGGGTGGTCTCGGATCGCGGTGGGTTGTTAGGTCTGGTCTGGTAGCAGCCAGGGTCTTTGATATTTTGGGCTATATCCGAATTTAATTAAAATAACCCCTTTATTATTTCAAAAAATCATAGAATATATTCATTCGGAGTTCAATAATCAATATTCAAACTTAATTGAAATCAGCATCTCACTTATACTAATTGAATAATTTTCAATTACCATGAAATCATGATTCAGGGTTCATCCATAAAACAATAGAGTACAAGTTATAGGAAAAAAAAATAGAATTTAAAATAAAATGAAACAAATTTTGTGAAATAGAAGTTATAGGAAAAATTTTGTAAAATAAAAATAATAATAAAACTGTAAAAAAAAAAAAAACAAAACAAAACAAAAAAAAAACAAAACAAAACAAAATCAAATGCAACGGCTAGCTAACGTCAGCTAGCCGTTGCAATTGAATTTTAGCTTAAGGATTCCTGTCGGTTATAATCGACATAAATAATGATTTTTTTGGCCAGCCCCAGACTGGTTGGCTGGCTGCAGGTCTGGCCCTCTAGCCCTTTCAGATTCCTTGGGACCCTCTTAGATTCCACGAGCCGTCTGGCCTAACCCTCGGTTGGAGACGGTTTTATGGCTATTTTCAACCCTCTTGACCCTTCGGTTAGAGATAGCCTAATATTTTAATGAACAGTATAGGGCCATATTTGCCTCCATCTCCAACCGAATGTCAAAGGGCCAGAGGGCTAGTTTTAGCCCTCTCACAAAAAACCGTCTCCAACCGAGGGTCATAGGGCCAAACATAATTTATTATTTAAATTTAAAAACTACAACAACTTAAATTTAAAAACTACAACTAAAATTTAAAAACGACAAATTAAATTTAAAAACTACAAATTAAATTCGAAAACAATATTAACTTAAATTTAAAAACTACAACAACTTAAATTTAATATCCATAATCAACATCATCTTCATCATCCGCCATCGTAGGAGTATAGTCAAAGGTAAACAACTGTCGTCGGCTCATAATTTCTTCTTTTTTTTTCTATCAAAATAGGCCTTACTCATTAGAGTGTAATTCGAAGTGTTCTTTTCCATATTCTTATCATCCATCTCTTCTTCTATTTGTTTGACCCGTTCTTCATGCCTGCACTTCCTTTATTCCGCCTCAAAGGCATTTTGCTCCGCCAATAATCGCAATGAGGCCGCCACTTCATGTTGAGCAGTGTAATCATCATTTGCCTTACCCTTTTCCTCCAACCTTCGCGCATTGTTTCGTCCCATAGACCTGGGTATGGAACCTTCATCCAAAGACGGATTTTCTACCTTTATTTGTTGAATGGTTGGAGATCTATCTTCATCTATATCTGCAGTTGAGGATGCAGTTCCGAACACCGGCATATGAGCTCTTTGTGGTGGATCTTCAAATAACACCCACCCTTTACAAATTTCCCAACAACTGTGAAATTGAAAGGGTTTCGAGCTGCTGTCCATGTACAATTCCTCCGCTTGGCGTACCTAGAAAAACAAATAAAGGAAATTAATTTATGAAATTAAATGTAATATAATTAAATATTTAAAATAAATTGTGAAAACACTTACTTCGTTGTAGTAATTAGCGCCGCTTTCATGTCTACTTGCGATTGCTAACAATGCTTAATGTCATTTGTTCGAACTTGGCTGAAGATGTTTCTTCCATCTTGAAGAGCAACTCTCGTGGTTTCGAATATTCACTTGAGTGGTGCCGTCATAGGACTCTAAGTATTTTTTAGACACACGAGTCCAAACACTGTCATTTGTTTGACAATTCCCCTTCACACTACTTCCCGAAACCCATTTATAAGCCTTGCAAAGAGCTTCATCTTCTTTTCAGGTCAAGCCTTACCTTTAATTGCAGATGAGACCATTTCAAAATTATTAAAAATTTTGAATGATAGATTTTTGAAAGAGGAAGGAAAATGTGAGAATTGAAACGGTGTAGGAATGGTGTAAATTTTGTGAGTAATGGTTTAGGTATTTATAGGAAAAAAATAGATTTAAAAAAAAAAAAAAGGCCCAAAAAACCTAAAAAAAGAAAAAAAAAATTTGAATCCAACAGTAACTGGCGCCAACTAGCCGTTGGATTCAAAATTCTTTTTAAGAATTCCTGTCGGTTATAACCGACATGAATACATTTATTGTATTTAATATAATGACGATGTACTATCATGAGGGTTTGTATGGTTTTAAAAATTCAAATGACGATGTACTATCCTCAAAGCATAAAGGATGAGATCACAAACGTTTTCATATTATTTCACATTTTTCGTATTATTACATTTTTTTTTAATGTGTTTGGTACTTTTAAAAGAGTAAATTGTAGCAATGGTCTCTTAACTTTAACTGAATTGAAGCAATGGTCCCTCAACTATAAATTCATTACCATTGGTCCGTCAACTCATCCAAACGTGCGGCTGTGGTCCTTCAACTAAAAATGCATTATCATTGGTCCCTCAACTTTAATCTAATTAGAGAAATGATCCCTCAACTTTAACTCAATTTGAGTAATGGTCCCTCAATTTTAACCCAATTGTAGCAATGATCCTTCCAAAATAACCCATTTTGACAAAATTTTGATGAAGTTGACGAAAATAACCATATCTACACGTTTTGATGAGTTGAGATATCCCAATTGTAGCAATGGTCCTTCGAACATAATTTATTTTGACAAAATTCTAACGAAGTTGACGAAAAGGACCATAGCTACACATTTTGATGAGTTGAGGGATCAATGGTAATGGATTTTTAGTTGAGGGATCATTGCTCTAATTTGATTAAAGTTGAGGGACCATTGCTACAATTTACTCTTTTTGAAATACTTGATATTTTTATTTTTAAAGTGTTTTATAATTTTTTAATCTCACTCCTTGCCTATAGTATACTATAAAAAGAAATAAAACCTTTTTTTTTTAAATTTATGTAGAATAATAAAACAATAATATATATTTTAATATAAAATATATACATATACACTATGGCTATTGTATTTTATAATAAGTTTTTTTTTTGAGTAGTTTAAAACATTAAAATCAACAAAATAATTTTTTTCTTAATGTGTTGAAATAGGTTACTCGCTTGTCATTTTCGTGTAAACTTGTTAAGGATCCGTTATTAATGCGTTCTTATCGTGTGACCCGATAACGACCCTGTCACATCTCGGCCAGGGACGGATCACTTCCCGGGCCCGCTCCATCACCGTAGCACGATATTGTCCATTTTAGGCTTACCATTCC